GTGTCGTCTGTCTTGCTGGAGAGGCAAGTGTTGGTTTCAGCCCTCTTCCGTATCGCGGCTGTGGCGGCTGCACTTCCGATGAAGGCGGAAACGATGTAGGCTCATGTACTCAAATTTGGGTGAAAGTTAAAAAACCACAGGTGGTCAAAATTTCTGGTGCTCTCCACTACGGTGTCTCTCATAATCATTTGGTAGTTTTGAGACGTTAAACCCCACAAATCAATCAATCAGGCCTCTTGCGACGAAGCGAGCAGCAATTCTACTGCAAGATAGTTATCCATGGCGATTACTTTTAAAAGCGAGCCATGGTGAAACTTTGATGTATAAGGAGCGGTGGAGTTCGATGGTACTAAAGATGTACGCATCACAAGTGCTCCTGCGGTTGTGGTCGAAGCTGTGCCAAGAGGGAGCATGCCGGAAAGCATGATGCGACCCATGGTGGTTTGAATGCATTTTTCAATGTCCCGAGTAATAAGATGTTCAACTCTTTCATAAATGGACTTTTTACTTGAGCCGCACGGTGATCTGGTCACCGCTCAAATTCTTCGAGCATCACTGGGGCAGGAGGACGAGAATGGCCCCTGGTAAGCGGAAGCGCCGTCGACTGAGCTACACCCCCTTGAGGAGGCTTCATCACTCCACTCAAGGCAAGCTGTGGCACACAGGACGTCAGTGTTGAGTTTCGTAAACGTGGTACACCATTACTAGAACCAGTTAGTGGCACGTTCGCTCGTCGAACTGCATCTACGGAGGTTCCTTCGATTCGAAGGAACTACATCCGAAGGTTTCGTACTACCCGGAGCTTCCTGACTGTGCAGCTGGTGGTGCTGATGGCCCAGTGTATGAACGATGGCTTTGTTGGATTCGAGCATGGGTCTTGGAAAACTTTGTGTCATAGGGAAGCAGCGTTGATGCTTCTGCGTGTACTCTTTCTTGCTTTGCCTTTCGGCAACCGGCTTGCATTTTTGCTCATTTTTCTTGGTTATTCTTCTCTTTTTGTACAGTTCGTGGCTGTGGCCAGGTGAAAATCACCACGGCTGTGGCATTCCTGTTTTGTGTTAGGGCATGGCGTACCCTTTTTGTGTTGCCACAGACCGCATGTCGAGCATCTAGCTGCCAAAATATTACGACGTTGCTTCTTGGTAATGCTCCAGTTTGTGACATATGTCACAAACAGTCACTCATGCACGATACGGAGAAACACGGACCATAAATGGCTCAGGCCGACCTTACAGGGTAAGCTGTAACCTGCAAATGGTACTATAGTAGTTAGTGCCTTTGTCACCAAGTGGGCGTGCGTGCAAAATTTTACGCTTGTGGCAGCGCAATGAGTCTATCAAGCATTCATAGGTCATGTCTCCAGCATTGCGAATGGAGTCTCTGATTTGATTCCGATTAACCGCTTCCCATGCTTGAAATGGGACTTTCTTTCCAACGATTCGCAGAGAAGTTATCACGAGAAGGGCGTTGCACACCTCCGGTTCAGTCACGTCGACTGCTAGTTTGTTGGCATGACCTAAATAGTGAACCCTGAACTCTGGTAGTGGGTCTTCCTCAGAGAGGTTAAGATTAGCTGAAATGCGGCCAAATATTACTCTATCCGCTCGTATGAACTTCTTATCCATGAGGCGGCATGGTTGTTTAGGCCGAAGGGTAACGGCGTGCTGATAAAAGCATGAGGCACCTGAGGTCGGTGGCACTGTGAGCACCGAACGCTTATGGTGCGTTCGGCGATAGCCAACTGCCATCCAACTATGGTCTTCGTTTTCGTTACGAGCGGAAGGAAGGAGCGTGTGACGTGCACTTCTTATGTGGGAGTGATCTTTGCGCATGCTAAGGTGCTGTCGTTCGGTCGTCGGTAGAAGCGAACGTCGCGCACGTTTCTCTACATTTGGTGCGGTAACAATTATGCAAGCTTGATGAAATGTATTGTTAGACTTTCCTTCCATAATATTTTGTTCCTCGAGCGCCCGGAGTGGGGCGAATGGGTTGGTGTCTGGCAGCAGCAGCACTCTTGAAGACATGGTAACGGCAGCCAAATCGTTCGTTAAAGTCGGCAGTGCCACCGAGGCAATCAGGCTGCCTGAAGCCTGTAAGTTCATGTCCTCAGAAAGGTTGGTTATTTGTGCGCAGAGCTCCAGAGAAGCCATGAAAGCTCGAAACCTTGACGGAGGTAATACAAGCAGCCATTGCCGCAGGCAGCTAGCTGGGCGGCGATGCCGCACACGAGCTCAAAAAAAAAACAGCCTTCCAGTATCAGCTGCAGCCGGAAGATAACGAGCGAACAAGCAGCTAGCGCATTGATTGATTGATTGATTTGTGGGGTTTAACGTCCCAAAACCACCATATGATTATGAGAGACGCCGTAGTGGAGGGCTCCGGAAATTTTGACCACCTGGGGTTCTTTAACGTGCACCCAAATCTGAGCACACGGGCCTCGACATTTCCGCCTCCATCGGAAATGCAGCCGCCGCAGCCGGGATTTGAGCCTGCGACCTGCGGGTCAGCAGCCGAGTACCTTAGCCACTAGACCACCACGGCGGGACAAGCAGCTAGCGCAGCAACAGCTGCCAGGATAACTTGACAGTGAAGTGCCGGCCAAGTGTGAATATCGTAGGAGTGCGCTCGAAACACGCCCGCTCACATCAGACGCTAGCCATAGTGTAACATAAAAATGACAAGAGTGATCACTCGGGCCAAAAATCTTCTGACCTATGCAGCTTCACCACAGCTGTGAGATGGCAACACAGCACTCACTGCTTCAAGGAAACACGCGTACTATTTATTTGCTAACGTACCTTTTCTAGTGCATTATACATCTACGATTTTTCGCATATGTAATGGTCCTTATCGTCTGCGATTCAGGTGTTCTGTGATTGTACAGTGCGATGTCGTCGGGCTGGGATGAGGAATGAACCGAAGCGAGAGAAGTGCTTATGGCTTCGACGTGACAGTAACGTTGTCACGCTTCGTGTTCATGCACATGTACGGCAAATGAAAGTAAGGGCAGCAGCAGGGAGCTGCCATAAATATGCGCGATAACGTTACCGGCGTGCGTCATGGCCTTCGCTTGTTTCGTCTGCCTTTCAGCTCGGCTGCTGCTAGGTACAAACGCCTTCAATGGTATGTGAAGTGTGTAATACATTTGTCATTGAAGCTTTAACCTTACGTTTCTGGGATTGTGCTGTTCGGCGCAGAAAGCTTATTTGTGATCTTCACGCACTGTTTTCGTGGATCGCGTCACAGAAAAAAAAAACTGTTTGGAATGCTTCACAGCACGTTTGCGAGAAAATTGTTTCTTGGCTCAAGAAATGAGGTCGCCACTCGCGTTGTTAGATTTTCTTTGTGCCACTACATGTTTTCAAATTCACTGCATAAGTGATCATTTGTGAAAACTGCAGTTATGCTCAATATTGTTATCTGTGCCTTCCACGAATCGCTTGAAGCTTTGACGAGTGCAATTAGATATAAATGGTGAATCTAGGAAATTGTTTGCTAGCTAAAGCTAGGACGTAATCTTTGAGTAAACATCCTGCCTCATTAACGGCTTTCGCGACACCTAAAATTGCTTTGTTCCAGCGGCGGCAACTACTTGTGATTGATTGCTTTTCGCGAAAGAGCAATGTAAACTGTGTAGGGTAAAATTATAGTGAATGTGAAAAAAAAGACGTAGGCGACATTATCTTTTCTTTTTTTTTTCCTGCCCGAGTCAAGTGCTGAGGCAACTACAGACGTGCAGCAATGTACACTTTACGTGTAGTGGTGTGCGTTTATTGCAGTTTTAATCTGCTGCCGTTGTTCTTTTATTGCTGCCTATAAGTTTATATCTTGTGTGTAATTTATATTAATATTATGGCAGCTGTATTTTCACGTCCCACAGTTGGGAACCTCTCTTTGTGCCTGTGCTTATGAAGTAGTAACCAAGTGGACATGTGCTTACCAAGATCACTTGAAAAAAAAAAATGTTTTCGCTCCTCCAAAGATTTTCATGCTATATTTAAAATATGTGCATAAACGCACATTGACATCGTGTGCTTGCTGCCCTTGCGGTGCCCGCATACGACGCGGTAAAAAAATTAAGTATGACGTCAGAGACGAGTGACTACGTAAAAGTGTTCTCGGAGGCTGCATAGTATTTCTAGCCACTACAAAATAGCCTTCGAGGCAGTGTATTGTGTGGTCTACCATCTCTGAGGCTGCGAAGTTTCCCCACACCCGTTTGGTGTGCTGCGAACCCAAATCAGCCGCAGGGGCCCATGGCAGTGTTCCTCTCTTGACCTTTTATATAACTCTAGGCACTAGCCATGAAATACCACAGGTCGATGGATCACATCCAGGCTGTGGCGGCTGCACTTTCGGTGGGGACGAAAATGCTGTAGGCCATTGCGCTCAGATTTTGATGCATATTAAAACCACCCCAGGTGTTCGAAATTTCCGAAGCCCTTCAATATTCGGCGTTCCTTATAATCATATGTTGATTTAAAAATATTATGCAACAGATAACATTAGAAGCCATCTCGCGTGGATGCTGACAACGACATCCCAAGCATAGAAACCGCCACAAGGCAGGGCCTTCTTCGCTGGGTGGGAGCCTTTAGTGTACATAGTTCTTAGCGTCCGCGTAAAAGACGAAAAAACAGATGTTCGCGCTTCATGCTCTGACGTCAGCTGAGCCACCCGAAAAATAAGTGGTTGTTTGTTTTGATCATTCTGTTTTTACAATGTTTACCTTGCTATACATAAAAATATTTTGTCATTGCAAACATTTATGTGAATGATGCGGTCTATTCGTCTACTAAACAAAGCCTGAAGAAAGAATTTGCATTCAGTTAAAACTTAAGAGGACCATTGACTGACCCGCAATACGCACACCGCACTGGAATGCACATCACGGATCTTTTATTTTCAATTATATAAGAGTCTTAGCAGCACTATTTTGTGCCAGTTGCACTGAAGCTGTGGTTTAGTAAAAACCAAGTGCTTGCTTTATTTGTTGGCAGTGGCAACATGATCGGCAAAAGCATGTACAAGATAGGAGCAGCTTGCAGTGCGTGTCCAACGGGAACAGTGTGTGACAAAGCTCCTGGTCTATGCGTAAGTCATACTTTATTCAGGCTTTCATAGTTCAATACAACTGTGAGCCGTCTCCGCCCTGCTTATAAGAAGATAAGCACACTTATTAAATGCAAGAAAAGTATGTTATGCACTTCGGAGACAATGACGAAGACATTTTCTGTGCATGTTTGATACTATTGGGGTAGCGTGGAGCTTGTTATACAACAAAAATGCTATTGAGAACAAATTTAGTCCGTAATTTGAATTGGTCTTTAGTGTGTTCATTCTATTCATGTATTGCAAAACCGAAAAAGAGGAAACGTCGGGCAATGAAAAAATCACGAACTGACCATTACAATTTTCTTGATTTGCTAATCATTTTAAAGGTTGCAGGCATATTAGTATTCATGAATAGTTGCATGATTAGTTATATGCATGATTGCATAAATACAAATAAAGGTTGCATGCATATTAGCAGTGCTCTACTGTTTTAATGGATATCAATGGCAATTCTTTATTTGTTTTCATTCAGCTTTGATATCCATATACAATAATGACACATTAGAAAAAGTAATAATCGCAGAGTATCAACTCAGCGCTTACTATTTTACCGTCCTAGATAACAATATCATAGCCATCTGTGCGCAAACTCAGTACATTGTAGGTATGTTTTTATTGCATAGCGCAGTAGGTGGCGTAATGACAAAAGGACGTCAATAAATCACGTGGTAATGGCGAGATGCCATTGGCATGAAAATGCATGGTAGCACCTGCACAGCTACTTCTTTTTGCAAGGGTGCATCTCGTTGGTTGTACCAAACGCACGCTGGGATATCTGCATCTCCTCTACTCCTTCAGCATAAATGCCTTCCGCCGTGAACCCACACGCAATTCAATTAGTGTTGCGTGCTCAGCGTAGGGGAATATTTCGGCAGAATGAATGTTATGGCTCTCCCTTCAATAAGTTTACCTGCCTCTGTATAGCACAAGATGTATAGCCATTCTAACAATATATGTTTTGTGTTTAGAGGTTGTTTGTTTTTCACTCTTACTTTTAAGTGCTAAGTAAAGACTAAATTCTTTTCACGCAACACTTTCTCTGAGCGTCACAGCAGTGTCTGAAGTTGCAGCGCTATTAGCCCGTCTACGTGAAAACTTTTGTTTTCCTCTTAATGCAGAAGAAGGGCAAAGCAGACGATGAGCTAATGATCTTAAAAAATGAGAGTCGATGCCAAATAAAAACGTGCATCTAAATGACGCAATAAGATCAGGCAACAGTTACTCAGCACTTTATATTCACAGATAAAAAAAGTCTAGGATTGCTTTGGCAACTCATATTAAGATATGCCGTGCGAACAAGAAATGTTCGCTGGATTTATTTAGTACTTGATCGGTAAATATCGTGTATCCTTTGTGTACGAATACCCTGTGATGATCAGGTGTCCACAAAATTTCACAGGGTCATGCCACTAAATACCATAGCAACGACGAAATATTCGAAAACACACTGCACCACCAAAGAGTATAATGATTTCTGCTAAAACATGACTTTTCACGCTCTTTAAGTAGCGTTACAAAAGCACACCAAGAAATTTATTACCAAAGTGCATATCTACTTATTGTGTTCTGCATACATACGTGAGCAAGGAAAAATCTCACGACTAAAGCCTGTTCCATAACAACATAAAATATAAAGAAAATAAATTTCTCGCGAAACTATCTCGCCTTAGTCACCAACTTCCAATTCAGACTGATGTTGCCTCACCTGCAGACTTTATACGCTGACCAAGTTGCAGTATGAATTTGCAGCAAGTAAGTCTTCACACAATGCTTTAAAAACTTCGTCGTTAGCCTTCGAACTTTACGGGTAGAAGCGCATGCTGAGTATGTGGTGATTGGGCACGAACTTTGGTGCACAAACACTTCTCTTATCATTCAGGGTCACCTGAAGACTGGTAACGCCCACCATTGACGGAAACAGCCTTCTATAAGTACGCAAACAAACGACAAGCGACATAGGCTGTCTTGAGTATATATAGTCACATAGATTGTTGGCCACGAAGGACATTTTCTGTGAAATTAAAAAAAAAAGACAGGATAACTACGTGTGTGCTACAGAAACAACCATTGTGAGTCTTGCACACAAGGAACAAGATCTTGATTTTTGAGAATCATTCGTTAGTGTAGCTCTTTCATTCCTTTGACCGAGATTCAGAAGTGTTGCTCCACATAAAAAAAGCACAGGACTGCCTAGCACTCAACGGAAGCAACCTGCTACAGTTAAAAAATGATTGTTAGATGCTGTATCAAATGAATCCGGTCGAGGTTCATTGTTTTTTTCTTTTGAGAAATGAATGGTCAAAATACAGAATTTTGATTGGTGCATTAACCTCTTCCAACCATTACATTTCAGAAAAACGTTGTGTATAATGTTTTTTTCGTTACGGTAAAGGGACAGAAATGTAATTTCGTGTTGTTACACACACATGATTTATCCATAGTAACATTAAACAAAATCCTAAACTAAAACATCTTTGTAACTTTTTATCGCTAACGAATATGTAATGTATTCAACATGGCTCACGTATAAATATATATATATATATATATATATATATATATATATATATATATATATATATATATATAGGAATGAGCGCAACATAATGCTTTCCCATAAAAAAAAATTTTTGGGCTCTAATGCTTAACACTGCGGAATAGTCACCGTTGATCTAATCCTAATCACATCGCCGCTGGTGCTTTTGAGAAGTTAAAGTCTCATCAATTTCCAAGTCGCAACTCATAAGCAAGTCCTTGTCTGGTGAATTAGAATTCATTGAACCAGATTCAGCTTTCTCGCAGTAGTGCGCATCGGAATAATCGTTTGTCTATTCACAAGCAGCAGAGCAACCAGCGCGCGCTTTTATAGCGTGAGCGAACAGCGAGAGTGAGCGCATGGAAGAATTCTCGGTAGCTGTGGCAGAGAAGCGTGGATGAAAACTGAACGATCAGGAAACTGGCCGCAACACAGACACGTTCGATTGCACAAGTGACATCTGGCGCACCACCTTGCGAGGCATATGAAAAAGCAACATCCGATAGACAGGAGCGTCGGCGCATGAGAAAAACTAAAGATCAGTTTCCCTAAGCATGGCAGCACATGGCAAGAGTTAAAAATGACAAAAAGGCACTTGTTTTAAACCAGCTGAGCTATAAACACACTCGGGCTCGCAAGTGGTTGCCGGATGGCCGTTGTGCGGAGCGAAACAAAAAAGAACGAACGAATAAACATCAGCACATGAAGAAACCTCCACGTATTCCCGAAGTGTGGCAGCACATGTCAGGCAAGACAAGGCACTGATTTTAAGTATGAAGGCAGTGCCGTAAATGCACGACAAAAACCCGTTTTTCCACGTTATGTGCGGCCGTACGGTGAAAAACCTGATAGGTTCAGTTTGTCTGGACCGACATCTTTAGTGCCTAAAAGCGTCATCTGCTGCCCAAGGGGAGGACAGCCTACAGACTCTCAGAATTGTGTAGCACCATCACATTCGAGTGAAGTTGTTCAGCGACATGACGCGTTCAATACAACTAACAAAATTCAAAACGTCTTTAACTTTTACAGCTCAAAGGGCAGTGTCTCTGTATAAGAGAATCACTGCGCAAGCAACGCCTCCTTTCACGTTGAACTGAACTGGAAATGGATTGAATGGGAAAGAGGACAATGACTCCACAACTCTTCATAAATATTACAATCAGTAGGCGCAATAAGGTGACTATTTCACAAGTATATAAAATAACATGAAGTAGTATTTATATAATTTGCTTGAAAATCTAAAATTAGCCAACATTCCTGTCAAACCAACTGGTTGCGTACCAGTCGGATTTGACGCAAGAACGACTGGTGGCAAGAAGCTATGGCGGGAAATAGTGTGCGCCGACCACTCTATGAAACCATATACGTTATGTTCCTGCTAAAAGGCCCTCGTTCCACGACACTCTTGATGAAGGACCCCGCAGTGCAGCCTGACACGTGGTTCTTAATGATTCGTCCACGCTAATTAATTCTCGCGAAACCTGAGGTTAGAAAAAAAGAAACAAACCATTATGAACGTATCCAGAAGTGGTGTGAACAATGACTATTCATGATTTATACTTTAAGCTCCTTACCTGGGCTTTGCATCGAATCGCTCTCGCGAACGCACGCAGAGTCCGCCTAAGCGTAGGTGGTTTTCGTCTCAGGAACCCGTGAATGAGCAAAGGTGGGCTCTGTCGCCTCACTTCGAAGTTACATTTAATTACATAGCAACTATTCGATTTTCGCTGCCGTTACCAATGGTTATAGAAGAACTTTGTATTTACGTGTACCTATAGGCGCTTCGGGAATAATGCTTACAACTGTGTACATAAGCTATACAGGCGCGCAGCGAAGCCAGCTCTACTTGTAATGACTGGGAACGCGACGTGCCCATTTGTACATGCTTCTTGAGATGACAAAAGGTTCTGAGACATTTGTCCTTAATGTACGTAAAACTATTTGAGACGGCGGATGGTTATGGTGATGAATAGCCAGCGCCACCAGTCATCCGACGTCACGCGTCCGAGAGCCACGATAAAATTATGATTCTCTCTTTCTAAATAACCTCGAAAGCGCTGACAAAATGGTGCATGTATTTCGACTGATCCTGACTGTTTTATAGAATTGAAAATGTTTGAGCAAATATAGACTGAATCTTTGACAGTGCTATATTTTAAAATAACTTTTGATGAAATCCGCAACTAGCATACAACCGTAGTCTCTGTTTTTAAATAGAACACTGACTGCGTTGGAACAAATCGTCGTAACGTTGACCCATTTACAAAAACTTTATGGGAATCCCCGCCTGAAAGGGTATGTTTTTAAAACTCGGGTAAATTCTATAGAAAATCATGTCTACTTTAGAATCCGTCTTTTTTTTTTTTGGTTTGGTGATGTAATATCTCGGTCATATCACAGACAATCATATGTTTGTTGTTTCACATACATTACAGATACATTT